TCTATATTTTTGGATCCATTATTTGAACTCCTAAACTACTGAGCTAAACATATCTCACCTAAAAGAATTTTCTGAGACATTTTCCTGTCATCTTGACTTTCCTGGTTCGCCTCTTCAGCCAAAAATGGGTTTTCTTTCTCTTTCTTCTATGAATCCACATATGTGATGCCCTAATTACAGTTTTAATATTCTTTAATGAATAGGATATGTTAGTTTATGTTCTAGGCAGAATAAATGTCTGCGTCTGTAAAGAAAATTTAATGATCTTTGAATAGATGAAAGGAGGTTAACAATTGGGAGTGCAGGCCAGTTTTCATATCTCCCTGCCACCTACTGCATAAACTGCAAAACCATACTGTGGAAAATACATAGCATTTCACCAGCATAACAAGGCTCTTTTCTCAGTGAATTTGCCTCAAACTCAAKGAGAGAAATTCCACTAAATTCTTGAGTTTTACATGGGAATCAGTATCTCTTAAACAACTGACAATGTCTGAAGATACTGTGTTGTCCAGTAGGAAAGGAATCAGATTTTAGTTTTGCTTACCTTTTTTTTTTATTCAAAACAAATGAAAAATTAATGTTTACTTTGTTTCTTTGATTCTTTTAAATTAGCTTTCAAAGAATCAGTAGCTGACTTTTTGCTATTATACAAACAGTCTTATGTAGAAAGGGTAGCAAACATTTCTCCAAATTTGTGAAGTCATTAAGTGACAGTGTTGAAATTAAAATATCAAGAGTTGTGGCTGTGAACTAAGTAAAATATTAACTAAATGAGGTGTGCATTACCAGGGTAAGAGTGTCTGCTTTCACAGTGATTACTGTGCAAGTACCCAGTCTATTCAAGAAAGAAAATTCTCTGATTTTCATCAAGAAAACTTGATCAAGAAATAGAAAACATCAAGAAATAGATAAGAATCAGCTAAAAACATCTAACTTTACCCAAAGGGAATTTATTTTCATAGTCTATTATTCTGATAGTTTTATTAATTTCAAAAGGTCAGAAATATGTKTAATATATTCCATTATTTATTAATACTGCACCAAAAGCTATAAAACATTACCAATAAGTTTGAAAAATCAAGCACTCTCAAATTGAAGAAATGTCATTTGCTCCTTTTTGTATCAGTAATGATACCACCTATAATTAAGTTATTTTTATCTCTTTTCAGTAAATATTTAAGGTCAACCCTTGAAAATGAAGAAAGGAGGATAAAATAGATTGTGACTTTTCTATGGTGTCCATTCCTACCGTATTTCAGCACTTTCAGCAATTCATTATTCGACCATTATAAATTCAGACATAGGCTGATTCTTTTCATCTTGAGATTAAAAGTCATCTTTTGGGGAGTTTATGCACTTTAAATGTTCACAGCACCCTTTCTATCATCTTCAGATGCAAATATGAGAATGTGAGACTTCTTTGAATGACCTCAGAAATTCACCCAGGAAAATGAGGGACTGTTTTCTGATATTTGACCCATTCTGGCCCATCTTTTCAGCTTGCCTGCCTTGTTTATCCATGTCACTGTCCAAGTCTCAATCTCTTCTGTTTCCTAACCAAAATGGCTATTTTACTTTGGCTGATTTCCCCCATGTCATATTCATCCTGTAGCACACATTGAGTCATTTTCAGCCTGTCTTTGCGAACATTAAAAAACAATTGAAAACTAGAGTCTTGCTAACAGAACTCTTGTGCGTTCTTCAACTGCCAGGGATGCCTGTAGCATCCAGTTTGCTACATTATGAAAATTCTTTGCATTCTCTTCTCAAGGGCCATTTGCCAGTGTTGGTTTGTAAATCATGCATTTGAAAGAGATTGACTTTGTAGCAAGGGAGCTTTTCTTTCATTCATTATATGTTTAAAAGTTCTTTTATAGTTTGTGCATTCCTCTGGCAGTTTGAGTATCCAAAATATAAATATTAAGTCTTTGGTACAGGTCCAGGTTGTGTTTTCATCCATTGTTCAGTACAGTAGGTTGATTCTGACTTCTCTGTGCAAGAAATAATGACACTGGCATTTACTGATTTCACTTCCTCTGCTTCTGCTATGTATTGACATTGCTTTGGACCATGTCACTGTCCTTTTGTGTTTTGCTCATTCTGCTGTGGACAGCACCACTCCTCTAATGCCATCTGCCTCATGGCTCTGCCACAGGGTCTCAACACAGAACAGCACTGCAAGCACTGGGCTATATTTAGCAGTGGCTCTTAATAGACCTGCCTCCTTCTGACATCTACCTATGCATTGGAGGCAACACAAAGACATGCACAAATGGTTGGTCGTTATTAGTTCACCTGTTGTCTGTCAGTGATACCACTTGAGTGTGGCAACCTCCCTTGCTTACCATGTGGAGGAAATGCTGCCATCCACAGGGTCTAAATTAGAAGTGCAGGCATATGAGAAAATTAACAAGAACACAGCATTTACCTCCAACAAGGGTGAATGAAAGGGAGAAGAAACCAAAAGATGCGAAGAGGCATCTTCTCAAGGTCTGCCATTAYCTAGAGGCACCATTAGGCCTTTGCTGATAACAGTGGAAATTCTGCATATAAAAACACTGGCAAGAGAAATAGTTGCACACCTTTAATCCCCATTATCTGGTAGTCATCCATAGAAGAGAAAAAAAGTGCTTTAAATAAAGACAGGACAATTAAACATTTTGAAATGTCTAAAATGGTAATTTTTATGTGTGAACTCTGAAAAAAAAAAAGTAAGGAAATTAAAACTTTTTTTAAAGCTTTATATGTAAATCCTTACTGCCCTCATGTGGATGTATACTGTGGGKTTTTTTTTCAATCTGTTGAAAGTAGAAATTGCCCAGTCCATCACAAGAGCAGGAAATACTGTCACTTGACAACTAAATTGATTCTGTAGAGCTAAGGCAAGGATCACCAACAGCAATGCAGGGACATATGTTGTAACTTTTACATGGAAAAAAATGCCTATGACAAGATCTTGTACTCTCCTTCTGTGTGAATACATTTCAATTTTATTTCTGAAATATCAGGAGTACCCTGAGTGTTCGGACTATGCTGTCCAAGCTGTGGGAGAATGCAGCACCTYTTGAGCTCAGGATGTGAGACAAAACACAAGACCTTAAGACCTAGTTATATGCAAAGCTGTTCTTCTCCACTGTATGGGCAATTGCTGTTAAACTGCTGTTAAAAAACAAGTCTCTACGTATTATGGTAAATAAATAAATATATACACACATATACACACACACACGCATATATATATATGCACACATATACGCACCCCTACATTTCAGGAATTCAAGTTGAATTGCATTATTAGTTTTATGTTACTGTGCCATTAAAAACACATTGCATGCTAATAGCAATATTTCACTGCATATTAGTTGAGCATCCACCAACCACGGACAAGTTTTGTGAATAATACTCCAAAGATGCCATGGTAATAACAGCTGCTTAAGGGACCATACAGACCTATTCACTGGCTGTTTATAAAACAAGCAACAAAGCCGAATTTGTAACATGTTCTCATTACAATGAAGAGTTTGACCAAACAGAACCTTTTTTTAGGCATTGGGATGTAAATATGTTTTTAAAGGGGAAAAAAAAATTGTATGAATTTGAAGACGTGTTTAGTTAGCATGGAAGAGAAGAGATAACAGGAATTTCTGTATTCCTAAAGGAATATACAGTAACAGGAATACAATCCTCTTGGCTAAGGAGCTGGCTGGGCCCGTGCGGATGCCGCTTCCCCACTGCCCTCCCTCTGGGAAGTCGGGACACACAGGTGCTCCTGGAGATGCTCTCCAACTGCTAGCCAAGAAACACTTGTGGACTAGACGAGTGCACGGTG